ATAAGGTTTTTACTGCAGTGTGACTCCATTGTCAGAACAGAAATGGATGGATAAAGCTCTCCAGTGTGATAGACTGCAACAGTAAAATGGAGAAGGGTTAGAATCTCTGACAAGTGAGTATAACTATCTGTGTGTTCATGTCCTGGTGACAACTGAATCTCTCACTTAACCTGCTGGCACAGGAACAATCCAAACTTGAGAAGTATATACTTTTCCTACATCTATCCAGAAAAAGAAGGTTTTGGCTGAAGATAGGACTTAAATGTAACCAAACCAAAGCCCAATTTTAGTTTGATAAAAAATATCCAATACCAATACATTGAGGGTACAGTAAAAGGGTATATGGTAAATGTCTTACTAGTTTACTTGCTGCTTCAATGCGAAGAGCACTGACATTTCCAAAGGTGTTTAAAACAACTAAACTAGGAAGACATTGGCCATATATCTTTTTATTGTACTCGCAAAGAATTGTTTTTTTGAAACTGAATTTGGGTATTAATCTTAGGGCACCAAATATAAGCCCCAAGGAAGGTTGTTAAAGGGATGGTTCAACCAGCAGTGATATTTGGTTATAGGTAGATGCAAGTGGTCCAAACCACTTAGTTCTTGCCCCTCCCAGTATCTTCAAGTTGAATCCTTCTATCAAATATTTTTGCACTTTTTTTAGCTCCATTGTGAAATCTTCCTCTTCTTGCATTTGCCCTAATGTAAAATAAATGGGGACCCAGTGGAGAGCTTGATAACATTTTGAAATAGCTATGGCACATGGGCAGAGATGATAATTCAAGTGCAGATCATCATTGGTGTCTTTTGAGTGATATAAGATGCTAGAACAAATTTAGAAGGAGGCCAAAGCTTAAAATTGATGACTGTTCACAGATTGTTTAAAATTTAAAGTGAACTTGTCATAAAAGTAAATATTCTTTGATATTTTTTTTGAAGTGCAGACACCACAAGGTGCTTTCATATTCCTTCAGTTGTATTTATATAATTTTTGGTGCAGTCAGTTCCTCTGCCTGCATCCCACTATGCAATTTCTATGACTGCGTCGAGTGTCTCTGATAATAAAGGTCACTGGAGGTCATGCCAAAGGTGTTCAATCTGAAAGAAGCCAATTTCTTTCTGCTGTGTGGCAGGATCAAAGGAAATCATAAAGTTATAAATTTTCTTTTTTTTGTAGGATAGTTTTGCTTCTAGTACCTTACAAACAATTGACAAATCGCGATCGGCCAGAAATTTGTCTAATCTAGATGGATATTACTACTTGCATTAACCTTGTTACAGTGATGATGTCAGCTAGGATGACATCATCAGTCAAGCTCAGCGGGAGTCTGTGATTATGTGAAGCTGCCAACACAGCTGACTGGTGGAAACCTCAGACCCAACATCAGGTCTTGTAAAAGGTACCTAAAAATATCTAAAAAAGAATAGTTCTTATTGTTCCTAACATAGGTTACTTCTTTTATAATCTCTTAATGAAACTGTCAGCTGAATGGTTGGTGTAATTAACAATAACTTTTTTCCATACACTTTAATGCAGTAGGTCTAATATTTGAAGCTACCCAGCTCCCCTTTGGTGGTGGCTGTAGTTGTTGAAGCCTGATCATTGTAAATTCAAGACCTCTTATTTTATAAGAATGCTGACACCAAACTCATCTAATTATTTTAATGCATGCTCATGCAGTTCTGTTGACCCCTGCCTGATACGAATGTTCAGACTACATGTACAGCTGACAAAAATTGATGGCCATGATGAAGGTTCCCAGATTATCATGGATTAAGCTGAAAAGTTTCCAAAACAGGAAATTCAGTAGGTCAGACCATCAAAGCACTGTATGCTATTGTTGGCCAAATGAGAAGTTGAATTGCCTGCGAGATTCTTGAAGGTTGAAGGAATTTCAGAGACGTGTCTGCCCATCTGCCCAAGCTATTACGAGTTGGTGTTTTCCACATTAAATTTTTTGTTATCAATACTCCTGAGTGGGGCCAACAGGAATGATTTTATTGTGGTGGCCGGGCACAGCCAGCCATTCTAACTGCTGGAGTCCATCAGACAAATAAAAGTTGGAAAGTTCTTCAATACTCCAGAATCCACCCATATTGAAAATATCAGCTGGGTTGATCCCTCAAAACCTATTATAGACCTATCTCGTGCATTATGCTGGTTTAGGTTGTGACATCCTGGCCACTTTTTTAGTCAGAAATAACTCACCATTTTTATATAAAATATCTGTGTGGAATATGCTGATGGTATCTATGTAAACATGTATACTGTATGAAAATGAAGATAGCACCACAACATGCTGTCACGACCGTTAAATTCACTCCAAGTTTTCTTGGGCTTAAGCCTAGACTTTCATTATCCCAGAGACTTAACCTCAAAATTTCTCTTTTAACATGCAAACACACATATTTACTTAAAAAAATACCCTTACCTCCATACTTGTATCAATCCCCACTGTATAAAATCTGCTCTGAAGCCTTATCCTCAAACTTTTGTTGTAGCAGCAATGTCTCACATTGTTCTTTTTGTGAGATTTAATTGCCTACCTGCTAAGCGTTACAACTTTCACCTTTTGCCTTGTGCCCCTTTGTCTGCTTCCAGAATGACGTGTATTTTTTTTTTTTTTTTTTCTGCAGAGTGTTGCAGTATCTATTGAGTTATATATTTTGTTTCATTATGTTCCTAACCATCTTGTACTTTTCCCTTCCTTGTCCAGTGTTGTTCAATTCTCTAATTTGCCTACTCAGACACGTTGCCAGTTGAGTGAGTTGCTGTACTGTTGCCTGAGTGCGGAGAGTTGTAGAGCTGTTAACAGATACATCCCACTACCTACTGAACTATGTAGCATTACATTTTATGCCTATCTAGAATTACATTTTTGTACACTACCTGCTTGGGGAGTGCTGCTGTGTTTTTTTAAACGATTGTTATATTTTGCGGCATATCCCTACTTTCCTGTCTTCTTGTTAAAGATTGCTTTGCTCCCCTGCCTGCTGAATGTGGATTGTGCCCTGCCTACCCAATATTGTGTTGTTCTCCATCTCTATGCTGAGTTTTGTAGTGTGCCCTGCCTACCTAGTTGACACTATAATGCTTGCTGCCTTTATATTTACTGTTGGATGGTGCCCTGCCTACATAATTACATAACGGACATTGCAGTGTCCCCATGCTTACAAACTGAATATTGTAACATGCCCTTCCTGCCTAATGAATACTGTAGTGTCCCCCTGCTTACATGTTGAATATTGTAGTGTCCCCTTCTAAGCTATTGAATATTGTCATGTTCCCCTGCTTACATGTTTAGTATTGTAGTGTGCCCTTTCTGCCTAATGAACACTGTAGTGTCCCCCTGCTTACGTGTTGAACATTGCAGTGTCCCTTCTAAGCTAATGAACATTGTCATGTTCCCCTGCTACATGTTGAATGCTGTAGTGTCCCCTTAGCAAATAAACCTTGTTGTGTTCCCCTTGCTTACATGTTAAATTTTTTAGTTTGTCCTGCCTACCTAAGTGTACCCCCAACTTCCTGAGATCAGAAAGATGGACACCTTTAACCACAAAGCATGTAGGTAAAGAACATGCCTAGGCCACATGCCTATACCACAACCTCAGGTAAGTAGACTGAAGAGAATTAATACCAAAACCAAATCAAACCAAAATTCATTTTGGTTAAACCCAAAAATTAATTTTTTGTCAACATTACTTTTACTTTATACTACCATTTAAAAATAACAATTGCAGTAACTCTCTTCCTATATGTTGAATGCTCTTCTGTGACCTGCCTGCCTGATGAATGTTGAGATGTACAATTTACTTCCTAATTCACATTATTTTTGTGTTCCCCAGGTTGACCATTGAACATTAAGGAGTTCTGTGTCTTACTTGAGTAAAATGCATTCCTTTTTTTGCCAGCTGTGTTTCCTTGCCTGCCTTCTGAAAATTGTAATGGTTTTTGGTCTTTGTTTTTCCCTATCTGGCTTATTCACACTGTTTATTTACCTATCTGTTGCCCATTCCAGTGCCTTTTTTGCTGAGTGTTGTAGTGTTCTTCAACTTTCTTGACTAGGTATTCCTTGCCTTCTGGGTGCTGTACGATTCCCAGTCATCCAATGCGTGTAACAGTGTTCCCTCCTGTAACTAATGAGTATTGGAACATACCCATGTCTTCTAGTACTGTAGCTCATCTTTAACCTCTCTACTCTGTTTTCACTTGCCCTTCAATGTCTTTTTGTCTGCTTTCTGTTTTCCATTTAGTGTCTTGCAGTTTCCTCATCCCAAGAGTTTTCCTCTTCCTACTTAATGGCCTTTCCTTTTCTCTTTGCCCCACCAGTCTGTTGATGGTGTCTGCTTGCCCCTTTAGGTCCTCTGTTATGGTGTTTGTTAAAAAAAAAAATCTGACTTATCAGTTTTTGAAAACGTCATTTATGTTTCCAGAGCTAGTGAGGTGTGACTGAGGATTTTTTTGGGGGGGAGTTTGCAGCGCATGGGAAGTGAGAGGTATATAACAGTCATGAGAGGCTTCTTAAACTCCTCTCTAAAGTACCCCTATTTGCGTTTTTTTTGTTGCTCCTCCCTGCCCAGTTTTTATGGCTTCTGAAGTGTTAGTGCAGATCTTCTAAATTTAAATACCCATCTAAGAACTCCACTCTATCATTACTCCATTTAGCAGCCGGCATAAAAAAAAATATAAGGTAAAGATTACAACAGTACCAAGCAATGTCCCTTCACTTTACAGTCCCAAAAATTGTCTTTATAAATAATGTCCCCATACTTGTGTCCCACCCTTTTCTCAAATATCCCGCCCCACTGGAAGCTGGGTTCTGCTTCCTGAAATAAGCCAGCAACTCCAGTTATCAAAAGGCTACTATCAAAGTCTGGAGGGTCTCCACTGATGGTTGGAAGACGGAAGCCAAACGCAGCCATATTTAATAATCCTCCAATTACATTCTCTATAGTATAGAGGAGAGCTCTAAACCATTGCCATGACCAGAATGGGGTCAAACATAAGCTGATTCACTGGACTGTGTCCTCCCCAACGTTGGCACTTGAGCCAGAGTAGATGGCTCCTTTTTACGCACCTCGCACACTGACTTTCTGCGAGCCTGAACTCCCCTCATTGCTGTCTTGATTTTTCTCCAGCCGAGGTGGTTAAGCTCGGCTAAGTTGAGAAGGACACAAATGCCGCTTACGGCAAACATGAAAACCAGGAAGACTGTCTTCTCAGTGGGTCGAGATACGTAGCACTCAACTTCCTTTACGCATGGGTAACGGTCACACTCAAAGATGGGTGGAACACTGAAACCATAAAGGAAGTACTGTCCTGCCAAGAAGCCGATCTCCAAAGCATTCCTGAAGAAGACCTGAATGATGTAAAAGCGAGAGATGCCCTCCTGTCGCTTGACCTTGGGGCTCTTTGCTGCTTTTTTAGGCGTGCTTGGGATCTCTTTTACCTCCAGGCAGTCTGGCTCATCCTTAGACGAAAGGTCCTGATTCTGCATCAAAATTCCATTGATGTTTTTCATCCTTCGGTTCTCTCGTGGCAGTTCCTTCTCTAAAAGGGGATAGAGGAAGGAATATCTCCGGTCCCTCTGCTTTGCAGACTGGTGGACAGAGTATGTGATAAAACAGAGGCTTGGGGTACACACTAAGATGATCTGGAAGACCCAGTACCGGATGTGGGAGATGGGGAATGCTCGATCGTAGCAGGCTTGGTTACAGCCAGGCTGAAGAGTGTTGCACATAAACATGGTCTGTTCATCTTCATAGACTGTCTCCCCAACGATGGCCACAATTAGGATGCGAAAAATGACCACCACAGTCAGCAAAATCCTGCCAAAGAGAAGTACACAATTGAGTAGTCTATTATATAAAAGATCCATACATGTTTTCACACACACACACACACACACACACACCTGTGCAAGAGTATTTGCCCCCTTCCTAATTTATTTATTTTTTGGGGGGGACATATTTGTCACACTAAATGATTCAGATCATCGAACAAATTTTTATAGCACACAAATATAACTTGAATAAATACAAAATGCAGTTTTTTAAATTATTTCATTTATTAAGGGAAAAAAAACTGTTCATACCGGCTGGCCCTATGTGATAAAGTAATTGCCACCTAAACCTAATAACTGGTTGTGCCACCCTTGGTGGCAACAACTGCAATCAAGCGTCTGCAATAACTGACAATGAGTCTTTCACATCGTTGTGGAGGCATTTTGGCCAACTCTTCTTTGCAGAATTGTTTTCATTCAGCCACACTGGAGGGTTTTCAAGCATTAACGGCCTGTTTAAGGGCATGCCACAGCATCTCAATCAGATTTAAGTCTGGACTGTGACTAGGCCACTTCAAAAACTTAACTTTTTTTTTGAGCCATTCAGAGGTGGACTTGCAGGTGTGTTTCGGATCATGTCCTGCTGCATAATCTAAGTGTGCTTGAGCTTGAGATCACTAACTGATGGCCAGACATTCTCGTTCAGATAGAGCGCAGAATTCATTGTTCCATCAGTTATGGCAAGTCATCCAGGTCCTGAAGCTGCAAAGTAGCCCCAGACCATCACACTACCACCACCATGTTTGACTGTTGGTATGATGTTCTTTTTATGAAATGCTGTTAGTTTAACACCAGATGTAATGGGTCGCACACCTTCCAAAAAGTTCCTTTGTCTCATCAGTCCACAGAATATTTGCCCAAAAGTCTTGGGGATAATCAAGATTTTTTTTCTGGCAAATGTAAGACAAGCCTTTGTGTTCTTTCTGGTCAGCAGTGCCCAGTCTTTCTTATTGATAAATCATGAACACTGACCTTAACTGAGGTAAGTGAGGCCTGCAGTTCTTTAAATGTTGTTCTAGGTTCTTTAATGACCTCCTTGTCATTGTGCTTTTGGAGTAATTTTGTGGATAATGGTTTTCACCATGGTTTGCTTGAGTCCCAAAGCCTTAGAAATGGCTTTGTAACCCTTTCCATGTCAATTACTTTGTTTCAAATATGTTCCTGAATTTCTTTAGATCGCATCATGATGTGTTGCTTTTTTTAGATCTTTTTTTTGCGTGCTTCACTTTGTCAGACAGTTTCCATTTATGGCTCCATTCACACTAGGGAATTTAAAATCAGGTGCGAAATCACCGCAGTTCATTTCAATGACACCTAAAACGTGGGGCATTTTTTCTGCGATCATGGCACGGTTTTCCCCATGTCAACTTCGCATACAAAAGGTCCTGGAACCATTTTTGGGTGTTTTTGTTTGATCGGGGCATGTTTGTCGTGTGAAACACTACCCATGATCGTGGCAAGAATGCCCCATGTTTTTTTTTTTTTTTTTTTATTTTATTTAAATATTTATTAGTAATTTTTCACATAAATAACCATAAACAATTTCATCTCATCAATACGATTTTTTTTCTTATTGTTTCAATTACCCCCCTCTTAAAACTTGCCCCATCACCCCCCCCCCACCCCCCACCCCCCCCCCCCCCCCCCCCCACCCCCCCCCCCCCCCCCAACTCTGCATTTCTTGACTTGTTCCAAAGCAAGCATAATACCCAATTTTTTTAACATTCTACTCTTCACTTTCTCATACTTATTACGAAATCCATTTTTTTTTCACGAGGATCTTCTGTAGATAATATGTCTTTCCATCTCCCTAGTGCTCTCTCTTCCAGCCCTGTCATTTCTTTTGAATGCATTCAGATAGTACCCTAAACCTAATTTCTTATACTTACACTGATTCTCTGAACTGTGTAGCAAGCACAACCCAGGGTCTAACCCGATGTTCAATTCAGTGATGCATTATTTTTTTCCAGAATATTTGAATCTTTGGACATTCCCACCAAATATGAAAAAACTGTCCCCACTTCCCCAACTTCGCCAACACCACTGTGGGTGCGAACAATGTCACTTGTCAAACACTTGTAATTTAATTCTACATCCCACTTGCATCGTGAACTAATCAATGTTTTTCCTTCATCTAATACCACCCCCATATCTCTTTCCCAAACAATGTGCAATGGTTTGGGTGTCTAAATCTGTGAGAATTCTATATTTTGCTATCATGTTTCCCATCACCCCGTGAGTCCAGCAACCTTTTTCCTTTTTCATTCTCAGGGGTTTTGGGAGGTTTCCCCCAAAAACTTTTTAATTGATGATAACGCCACTCATCTAATCTAGTGAATATATTTCCCTTTTCCTTTTCCAACTCTTTAAAGGTCTTCAGTTTCCCATCCCCCATTATATCTCTGAGTTGGACATCCTCCTTTATAAGCCATCTACCTGTTATCTCTTCTCTACCTGGTGGAAAAAATTTCAGTGGTGAATTAAATTCCCATTTCATATATGTATTTTATCCCATTCCCTTAATACATTTACAGTGTACAAACTTTAAATCTTCCTTCAATCCTCTATATTTGTCGGTAGAGATTCAAATTGGCACTAAGTGTTTTCATTAAACGTCAATCAAAAATTCTCCCTAATAATACTGCTTTGCATACGGGAACCCTTCTCTTTAAAACTTTATTGCAATGGGACACCCTTGGTTCTTTGATATATCCCGTTATCTTTTTTATTACAGTTTCTGGGAGTTTATTGTATCATTTGCAATCTGTATATAATTTTTGGTACAATTTCAGTTTAATGATGGGATTCCTCTTTCTAATGCTTTTAATTCTCCCTTTACTTCATTTAATAAAGAAATATAGTTTGCTTATACAAGTTTTTATACGACGCGCCCCATGTTTTCAGCTGCCATTGAAATAAATAGCACCTGGACACGCGATTGCGCGTTTTCACATTGTCAGAGTGCATTTTCAAATCGGGGGCAGAATCGTGGCGATTCTGCCTGTGATTTGAAAAGCCCTAGTGTGAATGGAGCCTAAGTGATTTTTTGCTTCAACAGGTCTGGCAGTAATCAGTCCTGGTTGTGGCAAATGAAATTTGACTCCACTTTCCAACAAATGTGGTTAATCACAGTTCATTCATGATTTAGCAAGGGAGAGGGGGGTGCAGGCAGGTTTGGGCAGCTTTTTCCCTAATAAATGAAATCATCATCTATAAACTACATTTTGCATTTACTTGCGTTATCTTTCTGTAGTATTAACATTTGTTTGATGATCTGATTCATTTAAGGGTGACAAATAAGCTCATTGCATGAGCCAGATTTGATTTCAAGATGGCGGCTGTGGAGAGCAGCAGTGTGGGGAGAACTTTCCTTACAAGCAAGACAATGCTGGACTCCATAGACTAGTGTTCTTTTTTTTTTTTTTTTTTTCTTTTTTTTTTTTTTTTATACAGGGACAAGGTTTAGGATTTAAAAATGTTATTTCCATAGTAAGGGTGGAGTTCCTCTTTAATGTTGTTTTTGGTCCTAAAATCCAGCTAGAAGGGAGAACAGTATTAGAGGTGAAATCTCCCAACAGGGAGCTGGTGGCCCCCAAGAGATTCCCTTAATTTTCAGGGAATTCTTATCACTCCCTTTTTTGGTTATAACCCTCCCTAGCTCTATACAAAATGAAATGCTCTATACAAAAAAAAAGTTTTGCCTTTTAGTTCTTGGTAATGCTCCGATATTTTTTGTTATTGTTGCATATTTATTCTTTAATGTGTATTTAAAACCATTTTTCTGTTAAAGAGTAGGAAATGGTTAAAAAAAATTTTTTTTTTCTTGCTGTGTTCCATTAGGGAGATTTCCCTCCCATATGACGTCCTTCCATTCTCACCGCGCACGCGCGGCTCAGGGAGCGCGCAGCACGGCGATCGGTGGTGCACTGTGTCCCTCGGACACGCTGTGCCACCTAACAGTGCCAGTCAGTGCCGCCTATCAGTGCTGCCTTTCAGTGCCCATCAGTGATGCCCATCAGTGCCACCTACCAGTGCCTCCTCATCAGTGCCACCTATCAGTGGCCATCACTACAGCCTCATTAGCACACATCAGTGAAGGAGAAAAAACACTTATTTACAAAATTTTATAACAAAAACTAAGAAACTTTTTTTTTTTCAAAATTTTCAGTGGTTTTTGGTTTGTTTAAGAAAAAAATAAAAAACCCAGAGCTGATTATATACCACCAAAATAAAGCTCTATCTGTCAAAAAAAAATGCTAAAAATTTCATATGGGTACAGTGTTGCATGACCGCGCAATTGTCATTCAAAGTGTGACAGCGCTGAGAGCTGGAAATTGGCCTGGGCAGGAAGGGGGTACAAGTGCCCTGTAGGCAAGCGGTTAAAGGACAGCTTCACAAAATGTGGAGTTATGCTTTACACTATACTCTTTCATAAGAATATATATTTAAAAAAAACAACAAAAGTTAAACTATATGCAGTATTTCCTGGATTACATTTCACATTTTCCTGCCTGATTTTCCTTACCGCCTGAAGTGATATTCATTAAATAGGATTTCACTGTTGCACTTTAATTTTGGCAGATAGGAATAAAACTACCATAGTCAGAAAAGCCTTTTTTGAATGTGCTGCTTCATGTAATGCAAATACACTTGAACAGCTGGTACTACCCCTGCAGGTGCAGTCAGCACACATCAGCAGAGCTGTCTCATGAAGTATAACTTTTATTTACACATTAATATGGATTTACCGTTACATGACATCATAGCGCGTTTAATTCCATCTTATACAACCTACCGAATACATTTCAAATATTGCTTCTTCCAGTGAACAGGCATGAAATGCTTATCGGAAGGGAACTATTGCACCAACTGCTGGAAGCAGGTCGTGTAAGAACCATGAACCTTGTCCAGGTGTAATCAGAGCCTGTACATCTGTCATGTCCGTATGATGAGGGATGTGGATAATAATGAAATGCTCTCATGTCATTTCTCATTTGTGCTGGGCTGGTAAATGCTTCTACCAAGCTGATCTGACC